ATTAACATGATGGTGGATGCCACTTTTCCTCTTTCTGCTACATTCTACCTTTTATTTCCTGTTACCTCCCTCCCCACCCTGTTCTTTCTCTCTCCCCTCCTCCACCCCACCCCTCTGTCCGTGGTAGTGCTGTCCCAGCTGGGTTGTGGTCTGGAGGGGTCCGGGCCCAGCCTACCGTCCCCGAGGCTCCAGCAACAGCACCAGCCACAGATCCAACTTAAATGATTTTAGCAAATGGCTGCAATATAACAAAGAGTGAAAAATTTAAGGGGGTCTGAATACTTTCCGTACCCACTGTATATCAGACTGACCTTTGACCTCTCAGACACTAATTCCCCTTCGACTGACCTTTGAAGACCACCTGAATTCAAAACCGACCTTCTTGAAGGGTTATTTCATGCCAAAAAGGACAATTCTGTCATCATTTATTAACCTTTATGTTGGTCCAAACCCGTAAGAAATCGTTCTTCTTCAGAACACAAATTAAGATATTTTTTGGATCAAATCGGAGAGATTTCTGTCCCTCCACTGAGTCTATTCATCCAAAACTCTTCAAAGCATTTTTAAAAAGATCAAAAAATAAATCCATATGAATTGAACGGTTTAATCCAAGTCTTCTAAAGAGACAGGATTGCTATACACGATGAATAGATTTATTTTAGGCTTTTATTCACATATAAACACTGATCAGCTAACAATGTTTACAGCATTCAAATTTGGTCACGGAAGCTCAAGCATGCTTGTTTGACACACGAGAACCAATGAGGTTCATTCAAGTGTGGTTGAGCTTCTGTTTATGTTTGCTGATCAATGTTTATATGTGAATAAAAGCCTCAATTAAATCTTTCATACACCTTTCTGCTCTTATTGGGCATGATTCTTCAGTTCGCACTATTCCAACATGATTCGTAATATATAATTATAAAAATATATAATTATCACCTAAAATAATCTATTTTTAAAAATATCTATTTTAATTATTATTTATTTATTTTTTAACAAAAGTTTGGGGTCTGTATATATTGTTAAAATCTTTTGAAAGAAGTCTAATGTTCACAAAGGCTGCATTTATTTGATCAAAAATACAGTAAAAATTTAATATTGTGAAATATTACAATTTATAATAACTGTTTTCTATTTGAATATATTTTAAAATGTATATGTTAAAAATGGAGTTTATTCCTGTGACAGCAAAGCTGAATTTTCAGCATCATTACGCCAGTCCTCAGTGTCACATGATCCTTCAGAAATCATTCTAATATGCTGATCTGCTGCTCGAGAAACATTTCCAATGTTGAAAAAGTTTGTGCTGCTTAATATTTTTGTGGAAAGACATTTTTATAAATGATAACAACATTATAAATGTCTTGACTGTCACTTTTGATCAATTTAATGCATTCTTGCTAAAAGTATTAATTTCATAAAAAAAACAAAAAAAACTTTTAAACAGATTCATAGCCCTAAATAGTACCTGTTATTTGGTACCAAGTTTTCCATTTTAAATTCAAAGGTCTGGTGAAAGATCAGTCTGTTATATGACATCTATGCATTCACTCTTTAGATTAAATGTTCCACACTACACAGCTAAACACTGTTGTTCATAAGAATCACATCAGTAGCTTCTTTTCTGGCTACTTCTGACCGACGTGGAAAGCTTTACGTGTTGTTTACGTATTGTTCTTATGCCATGTTTTGAGTTACCATTTTTCTGTCTAAGCCTTTACCAACATTTTCATATAAGCTTGTGGCATCAGCTTATCTCTTAAAGGTGACATATTATGCCCCTTTTTACAATATGTAAGTTTGTGAAAAAACACAATGACGGCGCCGTGGGTGGAAATTTACAGATTAAGCGGCGGTAATATTATAATGAGATCCCTTTGCCACGTCACCAAGGGGGCGAAATCTGACGCGCTCGTTTTCTCAGATGCTTGCAAAAAAAGGCTTACCAAAACAAAGTTACTGGGTTAATCTTTATCACGTTTCCTTGGTTGGTAGATGCACCGGGGACCTGATTATAGCACTTAAAACCTGGAAAAGTCAGATTTTCATGATATGTCACCTTTAATAGATGCTTGAGAAGCATGTTTTATAGCAGTTGAGATGAAATCTGTCAAACCTTCAGGAATGTCTTCTTTATAAGGAAGTTCATCAGATTTAATATTGTGCTGTTTTATCCGTCATCACGCACAGCTCACACTGATTGGCCCACTCTCCTGTCCTGCATCTGACCCCAGTAACAGCCGAACTCTTGCATTAGTCCCAGCTGGGATGCGAGTTGAAGTTGCTGTCTTACTGACAACAAATGAGAGCATGGCAGTGTGTGTGTGTGTGTGTGTGTAATAGAGGATAACTGACAAACAGCTGCATTGCACTTTTAATTTTAATTTTATCGCTCCTGCTTCATCCTTTCCTGTTCCTCACAATTTGTTGTTCCCATCGATTATCCCCGAGTCTTCCATTCCTCCCTCTTTCAGCCTCGCCAAGCTTCTGCAAACAGCGTTGATGTCTGTCCAGCGTGTTGCATCTGTTTTCACTGCAGTGTTAATGAATGGTGGTTTCCTTTCAGCAGCTCTGGTTTAGTCGAAACTCTTCCATTGTCAGAGAGCCAGTGGGAGAGGCGACGAAAACATGTAATACATACATGTAATATTGATCTATACAATGTACAATACCAGTTAGAGGTATTTTCCAAATTGCCTGGAACATTGTAGATACTGATAAATGATATTAAGTGTCAGTCAATATTGTATATTTAATTTAGCAACTCGTTTCCCCTACTTTTACATTTAGATTACCTTTGCCTTCATCCAACACTCAAAGTTCATCTTTAAAAACATTTAATAATTTAATAGCACTGTTAAATATAATCTTTAGCAAATCTCAAAATGAATATCCGTTTTTCATACTGAACCTTATGATGCTTCAATTCACTTGTAGTATTTAAAATTATTTAAGTTGATAGTGTTTTCTTTTTAACTTATTTATACAAAATAATATTGAATTTTAATATCTGCCATTTATGTTATTGGGCCAGAACAAGAAAATAATTATTGGCTTATCGACCAGAATTTTAATATCAGTGCATCCCCAATTTTAGAATAATAGTAAAGTAGTAAAGCAAAATTCATATGTAGGCAGTTTAAACAAAAGTTTGGGGTTGGTGACATGTTGATGTTTTTGAAAGAAGTCTCTTATGCTCACCGAGGTTGCATTTATTTGGTCAAAAATACAATCAAACAGTAATATTGTGAAATGTTATTCAAACTTAAAATAGTGTTTTCTATTTTAATACATATTTAAAATGTAATTTATTCCTGTGATGGTAAAGCTGAATTTTCAGCGTCATTACTCTTATATATGTGACCCTGGACCACAAAACCAGTCTTAAGTCACTGGGGTATATTCGTATCAATAGCCAAAAACACATTGTATGGGTCAAAATTATTGATTTTTCTTTTATGCCAAAAATCATTAGAATACTAAGTAAAGATCATGTTCCATGAAGATAATTTGTAAATTTCCTACTGTAAATATATTAAACCTTCATTTTTGATTAGTAATATGCATTGCTAAGAATGCAGTAAAAAAGGCGATTTTCTCAATATTTAGATTTTTTTGCACCCTCAGATTCCAGATTTTCAAATAGTTGTATCTCGACCAAATATTGTCCTATCCTAACAAACCATACATCAATAGAAAGCTTATTTATTCAGCTTTCATATGATGCATAAATCTCAATTTCGAAAAATTGACCCTTATGACTGGTTTTGTGGTCCAGGGTCACATATTTCTTTTGAATTTTGTATGAAGTAAAAAAAAAAAAACAGCATTTGCAACAGAAATCCTTTGCATCATGTCTTTACTGTCACTTTTGATCAATTTAAAGTGTCCTTGCTGAATAAAAGTAAAAAGATAATTTTTCAAAAGAAAAAGAACTTACCGACCCCAAACTTTTTAACTGTACAATTATAACTTATAATATTATTTAAATATTTTCACATTAAGCATCATTCAAGTGTAAGTTTTTAAAATAATGAGAAACTCGTATAGCAATTTGACTGGTCTTCCCACACTTGGCTACATTTGTATAAATTGATTACAAGGACCGATGGAGGGTGGGATACACTAAAACCAACAATCAGAGCTGAAGGTTTACATTCATAACATTTATCTCCATGGCTAAGTGGAAGAGATGCTTCTGAGGCACAGCTGCTGTGAGAGGAGACTCTGGGGACATTTTTAACTGCACATATTCATTATCTGCTTCTTTTCCCTTTCCACAGTTGCAATTCTTGCAGCACCAAATGCAACAGCAGCAAATGGGTATGGCAGTGGGAGCGCTGCCACGGCAACATTCCGCCAACCAGCCAAAAAGTAAGAGGAAACGCAGCACGCCACAGCCCCTCTCCAAATCATGACCTCCAGCTGGACGTCAGCAAACGGCACTGTGCTTGATCAGGAGCATTTTACGGACTGACTGTGGCTTGACTGGACTAAAGTTTTTTTTTTTTTTTACATTCATAGGGGTGCAGGAATTGCCCTCCTGACCTCAGGACAGATGAATATATACTGCGAGGACTTTTAGAGCAGGGGACCTTAGAGTATTACCGTATTTTTTAAAGAAATACAAGATATTAAATGAGACAATTCTTGTAGGGTTCTCTACAGCATGCTGTCTTTATTCTTTCCAAATGGCCCTTTCTACAAGAGCCTGTTTGGCTTGAGAGGGTGGACCCTACGCACACTAATAAGGGCCGTACAGATGTGCCTCAATCACCTGTTGCTCAACTTTACAGTTATGAGAAAACATTCACTTTACTGCTGGATGTCAGAGTGATAGGCCGCCTTGTCCCAGCATGCAATTACATGTGTGGTTTTTATACGGCACATTTTAAAATGGCATTTTGTTATACTGAGGGGGAGTTGATGTATATTCTTATGAAGAAAAAAAATCTAAACCATGTGAGTGGATGACATTTCTGAACACTGAGGCAGAATTTTTGTAAATGGTCTTTGTCGGCAGTTTTATTGTGATAAAAAAGAAAGTATATATTGACAGTGAAAAATACATCTTTTAGATAAAAATGTCATGACTGTGTGTTTATTTCGCCGTCTTCTTGCTCTCAATGACTTTGTCCACCAGTTTGCTGATTTCTTTGTTTCTCGTTATGGCTCGATTTATGCAGTGTTGCAGTTTCTCACCAGATAACGACGTCCCACCTAAAACAAAATGGAACATTTGTTTTTAGATCTACCAAAAAATATTCAATCAAATCTGCAGACCTCAAATTCAATCTGCAAAAGCTCAGGGATGCATAAAAAAAAAAAATCACCATTTTTGGATCCAAAACCGCTAATTTGTATGATTTGTGTAGATCTAATATGTTTTTGAAATTTGTAAAGACCGTTTATGAATTTTGTCAACAAAAGCATAAAAGCTAAATAAACCTTCAAGTTTAATGATTTAAAGCAAAGAAATATCCAAAGATTAATATTAGTTCATGTAAGCAAAGACATGAATATTAGCATTGTAATTTTACTGTTATGTAAAATTAAATTATTATTAAATACTACTATTATAAAATATTTTTTATTTTAAAGTGCAATAGTATTAGTATTATATGGTTCTTTATTGGATAGTTTAATTCTTATAATTTAATAAAAACTCAAACAAAACAAAAAACATACAAGGGTCCAAGATGAGATTTTCCCTATATCCTCATGCTAAAATCGACTGTAAATCCATATTTTAAAGCGGATAAAAAAAAAAAGTTGCAGTTTTCACCTCGATGAGTTTGCGTGTAAATAACCTGCAATGTTCACCTGGTTTGTGGACGGCACAGAGTCGATCCTCCTCGTCTGTTACCACAGTCAGTAATGCTGTTGACAGGCTTTCTTCTTCCGCTGTAGGGTCGACTATGATTATAGAGCTGTTCAATGAGAAAATGGAAAAGATTGTGCCTGAACTCATTCTTGTCATTTCTAAAGAATGTTATACTGATCTTGAGACAAGTGTTCTCTTTCTTAATGTCATGAAATTGATTTGGACTAAACTAAAAAGTGTTTTAACACCAACCCACACTGCAGTTGTATAATAGAGAAATACATTTCAATTACTCATCAAATATTACAAATGATGAGCCAACTGGATGCCGGTTGATCTTCAAGTGCCTCTTCTTCTGGATGTCAACTTCTGCTAAATCGGTCTCTTTGTTTATAGTGACTTCAGGGAGTCGGGCTGAGAAATATGAAATGTCTTTATTAGTCATCATATCAGCCGGAGAAAATGTTATACTCAGAAGAAGCACTCACCGTTCTTTAAAGCTGCCAGCAGAACTATGATACAGGCGTCAAGTAAGTTCCCGTCGTAATCCAAACACATAATATCACAGTACAGCACCCAACAAAGCTAGAAAAATCCCATTGATAAAAGAAATGCAAAGGATTTGAAAAGAGCAATTTGATGATAAGAAGTATTTTAGAGTCTTATTATATAGACAATATAGGCTATTATTTATAAATCTTACCTTAGATTTTTCAATGCACAATTCCTCCCTATTTATTAAATCTGAACTAAAAAGCAGAAAAAAATAAATATTAAATATGTAATTTCATGCAAACATTATTTGCAGTCTTGTTAAAATTTCAGATTTTTCGACGGGGGAAAAAATCCCACTGCTTCAACAAAGAGAAATGTGGTTGTACCTTTCAATGACATCTGCGATAAACTGGCTGGCAGCCTGAGCCTGTTCTCCTGGTGGACCGGGTCTGAATCTAGATGAGCACAGTGGAGGCAGATCTACATTTGGGACTTGGAGAGCAAAGAGGAACTCGGCTTATATTTCATTCAACACCCCAATGTATAATATTAGTCAATTATCCGATTCTAATTTACATTTACCTATATATCCTTTATTTGGCGCATCAGATGGCGGCATAGTCAATTCCTGCAAGAAAAAAATGCTGTAACTTCATAATCAACAGCCACATCATCATTTTTAGGAAAATAAAAATGATCCTCACAGCTTTGATCCCACAGATCACTGTGGTGTTTCCAATTTTCACCAGTGCTGATCCATCAGCTGTAGATATAGAGCCTAGAAGGACACAATCATCCAATTACGCCTAATAACATCTCTGTATTTGTAAAGCATTGAAAATCTGTGTGTTTTTTAATATGCATCCCATACTTACTAATATTTAAGGTTGTGGGTCTGAACTCTCCCAATTCCCTTCCATCTGGACGACAGTTTTCTTTCTGTAGAAATATTAGATTAAGACAACGAATAACTGAATTATTAGATTAGTGTTATATAACACTTATCGGAGCTGACAGAAATCAAATATTGGTCAACTCACCAGAAAGCTCCTGTGATATTCTAGAGGCTCTGCGGTTCTAAAAAAACAAACAAACAACTAATGTCTCGTTGTTTACATTAAATAATACAGCGAAGGCATTATCTCACTGTCCAGAAAACGTCTAATATACTAAATAATTCAGAAACAATCTACACATGTAATTCATGCTGTGTAGCAGTAACTCACTCACTTGAAACCAGCCGCCATGATGTTTAGAAGCACCACGTGAAGACTGCAGTGACGTAAAGACGTGACTCTCGCGTCCTCCGCTCCAGTGTGGGGCGCTAGTGCTGTTTCCCATCCGGCGCTCTGCGGCGCTGCGTGTTCTTCGCCCGCTGTGATGATGATGATGTGGTTCGTAAAGACGACTTCCGCGTAGGTGTTTCTCTGTGACTGGAAGTATAGTTCAACAATGGAGATGTAACTATTTATCCGTAATTTAGTACGACACCCATTTATGTTTGTCCCGCCTTGCGAAGCCGCCGAAAGGCTCGTTTTAAGGCTGCCCTGTATGCTTCAGTAGAGCAGTTTAGCTATACACTGGTGACAGCTTCCCTGCAGTGCAATGTTCACTGGGATATGGATGATGGATTTCTCGTTATACGACTTAATGCAGTATTCGCTGATCCTGTCGCTGATCGTCTTACTATTGGTATATTTATATCATTTTATCATTAGCATTTTCATATGTGTTTATACATCTTTATATTATAGAGGGTAGTTTGTTTGCTCTTCTTGCTTTGTTATTTTGTAAAACAATTTTTCTCATGCATTTTAATGAATGAAAAGTGTTTTTGAAATACTTATGCGTGATACTTTTGTTGAGCTTCACCGACTCGTCCAGTTGAACAAGTTAGTTACTCCCTTGTGTCACACCTGTTCTTGTCTTTAGGTTGTTGTCGTGCTACATGTCAGTGCTAACACGGTAGATCAGACTCGCCATGAGAAGGAGAAACACTTCTTGACTGCAGATGGCAAGGAGGAGTCTTTTTCCAGTCTGATGGACCCTCCATCACTGGAGCTGTCCGTGGTTGTTCCGTCATACAACGAGGAACTCAGATGTGAGTTGTTTTGATGGTATATGCAGTAATATGTATACACTGATGGTCAAAGGTTTTTAAAAAATGTTTTTGAAAGAAGTCTCTTAAAGGGATAGTTCATCCAAAAATGAAAATTACCCCATGATTTACTCACCCTCAAGCCATCTTAGGTGTATATGATTTTCTTCTTTCAAATGAATACAATCGGAGGTATAATTAAAACTGTCCTGGCTCTTCCAAGCTTTATAATGGCAGTGAATGCTGGTCGAGATTTTGAAGCCCAAAAAAGTGAAATTTTTCTTACACAAACGCTAACGCATCGCTTTGCTTCTGAAGGCCTTTATTAACTCCATGTGGAGAACTTTTTATGATGAATGGACACACTTTTTTGGGTTTCAAAATCTCGACCAGCATTCACTGCCATTATAAAGCTTGGAAGAGCCAGGACAGTTTTCAATATAACTCCAATTGTATTCGTCTGAAAGAAGAAGTAGGATGGCTTGAGAGTGAGTAAATCATGGGGTAATTTTCACTTTTGGGTGAACTAACCCATTAAGATCACCAAGGCTTCATTTATTTGATCAAAATACAGAAAAAAAAATGTGTATTAAATTGATTATATTAATTAACTGCTTTCTATTTGAATACATTTTAAAACTTTATTTTTTGATGATTTTTTAGCTGGATTCTTCGATGAATAGAAAGTTCAAAAGAAAAGAATTGTTTTCTTTCTTTTCTTTTTTTTTAATGGTATGCATCACAGTTTCAACAAAAATATTAAGCAGCACAACTGTTATGATTTCTGAAGGATCATGTGACACTGAAGACTGGAGTAATGATGCTGAAGATTCACCTTTGCCATCACAGTATTAAACTACATTTAAAATATATTGAAATAGAAAACACATTTTTAAATTGTAATTTTTTTTAAAAACATGATTATTGTTTTCATAATACTGTATTTTTGATCAAATAAATGAAACATTGGTGAGCATAAGAAAATCTTAATTATTCCAAACTTTTGACCACAAATGTATATAATTTTGGGTTAGCACCCCCACTGGATCCATATGGCTCAAAATCATTAATCTGCTTTTGGCAAGAAGAGGATTTATATTGTTAATGCATATCTCTGTCCTATCACAGTGCCTGTTATGATGGATGAAGCCATGGAATACCTGGAGAAAAGACAGGTCCAGTATTTAATTGATTTAAATGACTCAATGGTTAAGTTCTGTTTTTCTGAGTAAAATATTTGTGATTATGATTGTTCTGTAACATATGTACTTACAAAATATAATATCAATAAATGTAAAAATATCTGAGTTCACCTGGGAATCCAAAAATGAATTATTTTGGATTCTTTTCTGCAGTTGTTTAAGAGTCTGTTTGAGTGTTTCACCACTAGATGGCAATGCTGTAACTAAAGTGACTCTGTTTAACCTAATGTATCCTCTTGTTGATTTTACAGAAGGAGAATCCATCATTCACCTATGAAGTTATTGTGGTAGATGATGGCAGCAAAGACAAAACTACAGAGGTACTTTTCTGCATATATATATATATATATATATATATATATATACAGTATATTATAAACAATAATAATAAAATAGTTACTGTGCATGTTTTCAAATTGAATGCTTATATCCTCAGGTTGCCATGAAATACACAAAGAAGTATGGAGCACAGAAAGTGAGAGTTTTGACATTAGTGAAGAACCGTGGAAAAGGCGGTGCAGTGAGAATGGTAACAATACAAAAACACCCAGTTCTCCTTGTGCGATATCCACATTTCAGATGAAATCTGAAGAAAGATATAACAAAGATGCTGTTTGCACTCAGCTGGGAATGTGAACAAACTCAATTAATCAGTTAAATGGCTTGATGCCTGAGGAAGTTTAAATATGTGCTCAATCTTAGCTAAAAGCCTTATTTTGCACCCACTTAGATAATGAAATAGTTGAATGTTGTTTCTTATTGTGTTTATCTTTACTCAGGGAACTCTAAGCTGTCGCGGACGGTTCATTCTTATGGCTGATGCAGACGGAGCCACTAAATTTGCTGACATTGAAAAGGTTGAAGAAGGTCTTGAGAGCATCGATGAGAAGCCTGTGAGACTCCACTTTTTGTAAATAAAAATAGACAGGCAGCATATTGCCAATCTCTTGTTGGTATGTGGATTAAATATCTGTTTGAAGCTTAGCCAGGAGATACGGTTATCAGATTACCAACAGACCTTTCCTTGCCAAGAGATCTCTGAAAATCTTTTCTCCTGTGTCCATGCAGGATAACATGGCGATCTCCTGTGGATCCAGAGCTCACCTGGAAAAAGAATCAGTGGCTCAGGTAACAATGTTTCTCAATATATCTAAATACTGGAGCATGACAGTTAATGTTCATGAGTAAATTGCCAATACTTTTGCATTTTCATTCTTCTTGTGACAGCGGTCTCTGTTCCGAACGTTCCTGATGTATGGATTCCACTTCCTGGTGTGGTTCTTCTGTGTGAGAGGGATTAAAGACACACAATGTGGTTTTAAGCTCTTCACTCGTGAAGCTGCCTTGAAAACTTTCTCCAGCCTGCATGTGGAACGCTGGTAAGGAGGCTTTATATTAAAGCATCTCTGCAACTTTTGCACACAGCATAAAATTCCAAAAAGCACTTTTAGATTAAATTAATTGTTAACATTATTAAATGGAATCTTTTAATTTCTTAAATTGTATTATTATTATAGTTTAAATTTAAATTTTAACCTTTGAATTAAAAGAAATGTTCCTATCCTTGCAGGGCATTTGATGTGGAACTTCTCTTCATTGCTCAGTGTTTTGAAATCCCTGTAGTAGAAGTAGCTGTTAACTGGACAGAGATTGAAGGTTTGTGCTGTCAGTTTTGAAATATAATTGCATTTAAATGTTCTTTTCTAGCAGTATATGTCAGAAAAATTAAGGTGATTTCCTCTATGAGGTAATGAAGACTTGTTTTATGGCACATTTTAGGGTCAAAGTTGGTGCCGTTCTGGAGTTGGCTACAGATGGGCCGGGATCTAGTCTTAATCAGACTGCGTTACCTCACTGGTGCCTGGAGGCTGGAGTCTGAGAGAAAAACTCAGTAGCTGTTGTTACTGCTAGTGTGCTGTTCGTGAGCTAACGGGGCAAATGGTTAAACTTACAGCCCACTGCCACAAATGAGTGCACTGTGAGCGCAGTCGGTGAACAGCATTAGCATTTTATTATCACTGACTGTGCCATGACCACATAAGGGGATTGTCTTTGTTTTTTGATGTAATATTGCCATTTCCATATTTTCTTTTACATACTGTATTAAGTTTTGGTTTGAAAAAGGGGCAGATCGTTCTTAGCCAAATAAAAAAAAAAATTATAATCAGTTAGCGTTTCTGCATTTGCAACTAATTTGAAAATGTTTCATAGAAACAGATAAAGATAAATAATAAATGTTTTTTTTGTTAATCATGCTTATTTGAAAAACAGATTTTGATGCAGAGCAATTTTACAAGAAATGAAAGTAGTGTGCATTTAACTGAATGCTTAAAATCAGTGCCCTCAAATCCATTATTAACACGCTCATCCCATGCATATAAGATTTAAAAACAGTTGACTGACTGAAATGGTCTATGGTCTAGCATGTACTCAGTGCTTTTTAATGTGGTTTACTCAATGTGCTGCTCTGCACCCTGGAGAGAGTATCCTGTTTTTCCTCCCTTTCACTCCACCAGGAAGGCATTTGTTCTTATTCAGACCCTGTATCTTGTTAGCCACTCTTAAGAGGGCATATTTAAATATTTTACACTGACAATTTTTTTTACATCAGTGATTTAAGCAGCTATTGATGTATTGTATTTCCCCCGCCCTACATATATAGAGCCTTGTCAGTAACGTATATGATCCTGTGCACCTTGATTGAAGATGATCATTTTGCGGTGCACTTTTATTGGAAGCGAATTCCCCCTGCCAAACTCATTTGATCAAAGAGAGCACTAAATATGCGAGCTGTCATTATTGGGAGTATTGTTACGTTCCCCTGCAGTTGTTGTAAACTGTGAAAATGTCAAACTTCTAGACTCTCTGTCGCCATCCAGGCTTGCGTCATTAACTGGACAAATCACAGTATGCACACAATCGAAGTGTATCCATCCGCGCCGAGGAGCGCACGAAAAGTAGGGCTATTGATAAACGCTTTGGCACTCCGCCAATCTGGCACTGAAACGGTTTTGATTTTTACTATGATAATTTATATTTTAATTTTAACAAGCTTCTACTTTTCAAGTGTGTGTGTGTATATATATAAAACGTGTATATGTATATATAACCTATGGTTCAGTAGTTATCAAACAACCTTTCAGTCAGTAGCCGCAAGTGTGAGGTTATCCTACAAGTTAGTGAGAAGGCGGTTATCAGAAGTTGCGTTACCTTGGGGTAACCATAGCAACAGCGTTTTTGGGGTCGATATATGGTCGAGCGTCGACAAAAGTACTACTCTCACTATTACTTTCGTTATATATTTACGTATCACTAATATATAAAAACGTTTTATATATTAATATCACATTATTTTTGTAAGTGTTTTTAAGATAAACTGGCAGTCATCAAACTACAATTTGGGTTGCGCTACATGAACCTCAACCGATTTTTTCTTTCAAAATTCTAAAAGAAATTCCTTTGGAACGTTGACCGCTTGAAAGTAACCGAATAATTCGCGCTTTGGAAATTTCCGCTGAAAAAAAGTCAGAAAAACTTCCAACAAATCACTTTCACTTTACAACCTTGGCCAAAAAGGTGCATCACTTCCTGTGAAAGCCGGGAAAACAACTGTCCGCACTTGTCATCTGACCCTGAAAACAAATTAAAAGTGAAACGCTGCTGCCCACAATGACCTGTTTTCTCTCAACAATAGGCCTGTGAGCGAGTCTCAGGCTGCTCTTTTTGAATGGGATGATGATCCCTCTGTGTCTGACGTCCTGGGAGTTCCAGGAGCTGCGGATGAATTCCGCACGAAGGCGCTGAGGCTCCAGTCAGACTGACGCCGCGGCTCTCGCTCGATCCAAGCACACGCGCTGTGCACCTCCAGTCGGCGCGAGATTCAGCGTTCGGCTGTTTCGCGGGATTACCCGACTACGCGGATCGTTTTTCGACTCGTCACGTTAAGGTAAGGAATAAAACGTGTTATATAGCGCTTTTGATATTATTTAGCATTTATTTCAGGATTTAAAAATTAACATTTTTCTAAATGATAAGAACAAGTCCTGACAAGTGTCTGTGTTTTAACTTTTTTTTTGTCTTGTCACACTTTAACTTACTTTTTCTTCCTCACGTTAAAACTTCTCGCATGTAAACCTTTTTAACAAGGTAGGCTGCGTAAACATAGACGTTGTTTGTTATGCCACTTGCTGTTTAAAGATGCTGCTCCATAGAGAGAAGTTGCGACAGTTATTACGCCTGGAATCGTTTTTTAAATAATTGCTAAATATAACATTGCAACATTTCTTAAAGCAAAAAACAAAGCGAGGTTGATGGGAAGGATGTGTATGCGCGTTTGCAGGGGAGTTAGGTGATTAAGCCTATCTCAGCACTCAGACTGCCAGACGCCAGTTTCATAAGGACACACTGCCTTTGAGAACAGAGGAGCAGATGAATTCACCCTCAACTGATCTTCCTGCCTGCCTGTGCCTATTTGAAACCAAAGTATGATTTCATGCATCGCTATTAGTCCTATATGGTCTCATTTTTTTCCTATGGTTATTTGATTTAGTTAGGGGTGTGTTAATGCAGTAATATTTTCAGAAGCTATTATTTGACTAGTCTGGCCAAAGATGGAAGCAAGCATCTCTAGTTTCAAATGCTCAAACGGCATTGATTTTTAGCAGATCGTTTTTTGCATCAGAAAGCTTCTGCAGGAAAAGGAGAGGGCAAATAGGTGAGGTCCAGTGAGAAACACAGTAGGACCTGTTGACACTGACAGCAACAATAACTCAGCAATAATTCATAAATCCCAGCATGCACAGATGCATGATGTTGGCCTCCAGTATAAGATCTTGAGATCTGCATAGGAAAATGTTGTTTTTACGTCAATAAATCCTACACCCTAATAGGGTGAATCTCACAAAAGAAAATATCCATGTCACATTTCACTCCAAAATCATAAGAAGATGTTGCTTAAAGAAAATGAAGCCCTTTAGCTTAATATTCATTTAGATTTTGGCGTTGTTTGACATTATTTTTCATGACAATAAAGCACAATTTGTCCTAATTCACATAACCATGGTGCAAAAAGTATAAATTTTTCTTTTACTAAATACATAAATAACAATAAAAATCAAATTTTCATTTGTGTAATGTTATAAAGATTTCTTTGACCACAATGTAAATATTTATATAATTATGTCCATATTTTTGTCCATAACTTTTCATTTGTACTGATTAAAAAAATAATAATTTTTAAATGTTAATTCAATTCTAACTAATTAAATAATTCAATCACTTTTCAAAATGTTAAATAATTTGAAATGAATAACAATTAATTAATTAATTTAATGCATATTCAATTATAATTTTATTAATGCAATTCTGACATGCTTCTTTGTTTCTTTCACCAGATAAAAACGGCTGACTGCCTGACGAAAAATCACTGTCAGGGGGTTTATTCTATACTCGCCTGTATCTTGTCTGTAAAGAAATAAACTGAGGCTCCTGGGTTGGAGTGATTTAAAACAGATCTGCCCCAAGCTTTGAGAAAAATCTAGTCCCTGGTGTCGCCCCATCGCATGATGCACTCCACCACATCCATCACCTCCCTCTTCTCCTTCACCAGTCCAGCTGTGAAAAGGCTGCTGGGCTGGAAGCAAGGAGACGAGGAGGAAAAGTGGGCGGAAAAGGCTGTGGATTCCCTCGTAAAGAAGCTCAAGAAGAAGAAAGGGGCCATGGAGGAACTGGAAAAGGCTCTGAGCTCTCCTGGCCAGCCCAGTAAATGCGTTACCATCCCTCGATCCCTGGATGGAAGGCTCCAGGTGTCCCATCGTAAAGGTCTACCACATGTTATCTACTGCAGAGTGTGGCGCTGGCCGGATCTTCAGTCCCACCATGAGCTCAAAGCACTGGACTGCTGCGAGTTTCCTTTCGGCTGTAAACAAAAAGAGATTTGCATCAATCCATATCATTACCGCCGTGTGGAGACGCCAGGTAGAAATCGATACACAAACCACTTTTCTTTTTTTTTCATATTGATTATCGCTTTTTGCCAAGGCAGCATTTCTAATTTTTGTGTTTTTCATCTAATATTTATATTTTATTTTATTTCAGCTTTATTTAAATGAACAAAAATGCTTTAATAGTTTTCATGTTAGTTAACAATAATGTGTCTTAAATGTTTATGGTATCTTTCTATAGTGAATTCATAATTCTAGTTTAGTGATTGCACACCTTAATCTGACTTTGTTTTCAAGAAAATGGTATTATTATGGAAATGAAATGTATAAGAATAAACAAAATGTATTATTGTTGTGTAACTTACTAGAATGGAACAAGACTGAACACACGTTTACTAAAATAATAACTTGTAAAAATAAAAAAAAATGACTTCTCGACTACTGGTTAAGTGATGCCAGTGGATCCAGAAAGCTCTTTTAGAAAAAGAACATTTGGATCAATTACATCAATTTTTGAAATAAAGTTAACAAAGTAACAAGACCTGGAACATGCATTAAGTGAGTTAAAAGTACATTTTAATTTAATGTTTATGACTTTAAAAGATAAATGCGCAATTAACTAATTTTTGAACATTTTCCTCTTTTGTTTTAGGTGTGCACTTGTATTACGTCGGAGGGGAGGTGTACGCAGAGTGTCTGAGTGACAGCAGTATTTTCATACAGAGTCGGAACTGTAACTACCAGCATGGTTTCCATCCCACCACTGTCTGCAAGATCCCGAGTGGATGCAGCCTGAAGATCTTCAACAACCAGCTGTTTTCCCAGCTGCTGTCTCAGTCAGTAAATCATGGCTTCGAGGTGGTGTATGAACTTACCAAGATGTGCACCATCAGGATGAGCTTTGTCAAGGTAAAGAGGTTTATATAGAATATGTGGTGCATCATGAGCAGCTAATAAAGGTCATGTTAACACCCTAGCAGCCACCTGGAATGGCATAGCAACACCCTGCCTACCACCAGCAAAAGAACCAACTCATTAGAGTCACTAGTTAAATCTACACTGGGAATTAAACTACACTGGTTGAATTGGCTTATAAGATTTATTCTTTCTGAAATCAGACTAGTTGTGCTGTATGCTTTTGATTCAGTGAAAAGAGCTGGTTCCTAAGAGTCATTCACTTGGGAATTGGATTATACTGGTTGTACTATATGCTTTTGATTCACTAAAAAGATCAGGTTCATAAGTCATTAATTCAGACATCGGACTACACTGGTTGCACTTTTTTTCACGTTTGTAGATTCAGTAGCAATGTCACCGATTAAGTAGTGAATGAAACTCTGTCAAGAGTATCTTAAGTATTTTTGTAAGGGAACGTGTGAATATACAGAATGCGTGTGCTAGAACAGTTTGGTTCCAGTATTTTTTATTTATTTATTTATTTTTTAATAGAACCGGATCTGAATAAGAACTGATTCCCGGTACCCAAGCCTAGAAAACACTTTTCTTTTTTCTTTAAAAAACAAAAATCGACTTATATAGTTTATTCTAATAAATATGAATATAATAATATGCAGTATTTTAAATAAACTCTGTTGTCAAGCTTATTCAACAGTATGGGTGAAAGGTGCTGTTTAGCGCTATCGCAATACAGAAAGGTCATCAACGTCATTCACAAGCTAACAGCTCTTGAGGTGCTTAGCACTTCCAAATAGAAAATCTTCTGTGTGTTGCTATGCAAACATAATATGTAGTTATTCTAATCTCTGGTTTACTGTTTTATGGATCTTGCTCTGCCAAAACACACTGAGGATCCCATAGCTCTAGAGTTCTCTGGTTACTGACTGATACGACACATACAATTTTCCTTGCTCGATTTGTATGTATGCAGACAAAAAACAACAAATTGATTGAGATTATTTCTATGTTAAAATATAAATGAAATGGAAGAGTTTTGGGGAAACAAGTTTGCAGTTATTTTTGCAATTCCTTTTGTTGCTGCTGGGCAATTGGAAATGAAATATTTTAATATTTTTAATTTGTATGTTATTGTTGTTGATTTGTTTTTAAAACCGGTTTGCTGTTTTAGTTGTAGTATAAACGGCCAATTATTGAGAATGAAATCTGTCCTCTTCCCAGGGCTGGGGTGCGGAATACCACCGTCAGGACGTCACCAGCACCCCCTGCTGGATAGAAATCCACCTGCACGGGCCGCTGCAGTGGCTAGACAAAGTTCTGACCCAGATGGGCTCCCCACACAATCCTATTTCCTCTGTGTCCTAATGCATTACAGAACAAGGGGAATATAGTTCTCCAATAGACATTTATAGCACTCCTCAAGACACATAACGCTCTTTCTCTTGTGAAAGTATCTTTTCAGTGGATGTTTATGGTACTGCTATAGGATCAGCCAGGAAATATGTACAATATAATGCTGTTAAATAAGCAGTGGTTAGATAAGCGTTGCATTGTTTTTAATTTAAAAAAAAACATAAACACCACTACTTCACAGTATGTAGTAGCTGAGATCAGTTCAGACAGAATCTCTCTAATAGGAAGCCAAAGAAATGTGTTAGTAGTTAGGTACTTGTTCTGGAAATGTTTTATTTGTGTCATATTTTGGCTAATATGTGCCTTCTATAACATTTCAAGTTGTTTTTCATTTGCGTTAGCTTTCTTGATCTTGAAATACAAAAACCTCCCTTCTATTTGTGCCTGTTTATTTTCTAACCTAAATGCAAATGTGAAAAAGTTGAACAATCCTTAAGTATTAATGCTTTTAAAGCTGAAAACTGCAGGTTATCAATTTTCACAAGATCAATAAAACTTCATTTGATCGCTCTTAGCAACTTACTGAGTTTACTCCATGTTTAAAATAATAAAGCTGATTGAACAATTCTGTGTGTACGCTGTTACTTCCAGCTACATGGTCAAGTTGTGGCAAAAAACTGTAGCTTTCACTGGTGACATTATTACAGATTAGATTAAGATCACTAAAATAAAAAAATGTTTATGATAACAGCTGCCGTTTCTTATTTTCTATCATTAATTAAAAAATCCTAAATGACACCACATGTGGCCGAACAGGATGGCTATTCAGATGGATTGTTGCTATACTGTAGATTTAGCTGCTAATTCATTTCATGATCTCAAAGAGCTTGATGATGACAGCAGTCCTTGTCAAATAGCCCAGTTTTCAGAATGCAGTGTTGATAGTCTCCACACCATTGAGAATGGCTGCAGGTCATAGATGCTCACAGTTCCCACCTGAATATAGAATACTGCCCATTGTAAAATGTCTGTGAAAATGTGACTGCATTAAATCCTTGACAGGATGCATAAAACATCTTCAGTCTTCAGTAGTTGTGCTGTGTTTGAGCTCGATTCTGTGTGGTCAGTAAACGCTGCTGCTGCTGCAGGAAACCGATGACTTCTGGACTCCTCAGCAGAGACTGAATCCCAAAAACAACACAACATCAGGCAGCTAATGGTAAGTCACTCTACTATGAAATAATATTCAGTTAATATAAATATTAATAGGATTTATATTACATATTAAATATACATGAGGTTTTAAAACGATATAAAATTCACCAACCCAATGCGACAGAATATTTGGCATACAAATCATACATAAGAGATTTTTAAAAAACTATGAGAATTAAAAACAGATATTTTAAAACTGAAAAATTAACCTTCAAAAAAATAGATGATGTTATTATTAGCTTCATTTATTAATTTATTTAAGTTATTATGGTTAACTAAAACTAATACCATAACATTTTTTAACTGAAATAAAGTAACAAATATCAGATGGAAAAAATGACGTTAGTAATTTGTTAATAATTAGTAAAATGTTGCCTTGGTAACTATTAAGTTTAAGTTGAAAAATAAATTACTAACTGGAAATAAATAAAAACTGAAACATGAAATAAATATTAAATATAAAAAAATTAAAATAATATTAAAAATACATCAAAAGCACATAATAAAATGATTAAAAATAAACAAATTAAAATGAAATCCAAAACTAAAAAAATACAAACAATTTAGAATAGTAACAACAACTATAATAGTATATAGATAACACTAAAATAACATTGCTCTAAATGACTAAAACTAAAACTACTCTAGTGCAAACCCCAAGTGTTTCAATGCTCTTACCAGTCTCTTCTGGTTCAGCACCTGCTCAATGAGGGACGGTCTGGTTGGTCTGTCTCCCATGTTACCCAGCCGTTGCTTAGTAACAGATACAGGCCTCTCCTCCGAACCCTCCTTCACATCACAAACAGAGAAAACACTGAAATAAGCCTATAAAGTTGGGATAAAGGCTAAAGTTAATGCAACAACTGAAGCTGTTATTTATCCCAAATAAGCATTTCCTTACTTCTAGTTTTCCCGATGACATGGCCTGGTCGCTTTTCTTTTTCTTATACTTGTCCTTGTACATTTTATTCCGGTGTTTTTTGCACATCCAGGGTTTCCTGGCTTTGGCCACCTGCGTCGTGGTCTCCGTGCAGCCGTCATAGATGCAGGTTTTGGGCACGTTCTCGCTCTCTCCGGACGTCTCGTCGTCGTTGAGGTCCTCCGGACTGGCCGCGCCGTCTCTCGCCTCCGGCACGTCGCTCTCTTCGCCCGGGTCTTCCGTGTCGTACGGGAAGTTCTCCTGGTCGGACGGGGTGGTGCTGCTTTCCGCGGGTGCAGGGGTATGGCCCTCTTTACCCGTATTTGCCAAACTAAGATGAACGCTGTCGCTCATTTGGTCTTTTTAGAGCAAAACCCAAATTCTAACCTGTCATCCGACCTTCATGAACGTACTGACCCAGACGTGCCTTTTTAGTGAACTCGGCACAGAATAAATTAGTATTAAGCTGATTTAATGACTGTCATTAAAAATGCCGCATTTTTAAATAAAAATAACCCAATAAATATGACCTATACGAATAAAAAACGGAAAAATATGAGCTGTGAAGGACTCCTGTCACGACAAAAAAACAAAACAGCGATGGCCGCTGCAGAGAGTCTCGCCTGTGTGATGAAATTGACGTTGCGCCCTCTAGCGGCACCACGCAGCGATGCAAATACCTGAATTCTCGAATACACTGGACCTAAATGCATCTGCACGTGTAGAAGACACTTTAATAGCCTATATGAATGTCGTTGCATTAGATAACTAAATATCAGACTACATGGCTGATGATAGCACAAAAAAAACAGCCAACACCCTTTACTCCGTTTATGGAGATCAGAGATTATTGTGCATTGTGCAGATTATTGGCATCGTATCACTGAGCGGTATGGCAATGCTGACTCCCTAACAAAGTAGAATGCATCGTCGATAAAGCCTCAAAATCACAGGTACAGATCTCATGTACAGGTAAGCTACTGTTCAACCAACATACGTGCTAAAGACATCACCAATGATCCATCTCACCCAGCACATAACTGCTGAGATCACTGAAACCTTTCAGCTGTTGTTTCTTCCCAACAGCTGTCAGCTCAATAAACATTCTAACCATATCACTCCTCAGACTCACTTTATGGGCCCCTGACTTCTCATTATTTATCTGTGTTGGATCGCAGATTGCTGTATTGTTTATTGCAGACTGTGTCTTGCCTATATTGTATTCTATCGTCCATTTGCGAATAGTATCTATCAAGTAGATAAGCATCTAAATATATCAAATAGTTCTAATGTGTTTAATAATGGAAACCCATTTCCAGCACACAAAAATGTTTTGGCAAATCATAACAGTGACATAAAATGTAATACTTATGAAATAAAAGTCCAAATTATGACATACTAAAGTTAAATTATGAGATAAAATAACATGAAAAGTCAAATTTGTGTCATAATTGAATTTTTGTGAACTTAGTATGTCATAATTTTGACTTTTATCTCATATTTTTTACTTTTTCTGGCATTATTTCGTCTTTTTATGTCATAATTTTATCTTTTACGTCATAATGACAGTATGCTATAATTTCATCTTTTTATCTTGTCATTTTTACTCAGTGTCTCATATTTTTGTGGCAGAAATGGGCTTTTGTTCTGTTCTGAAAAGACAGTTAAATATAAAAGTATAGGTTTGAAATTATATGTTTTGAATAATATATTTGTAATATAATATAATATTTAATGTTTTCTTTGTTTTCAAAATTACAGAAAGTATTTGGACATTTTCTGGTTGTCAAACATTATTGGATCCAGTCCATAGTTAATGGACCTGTGAGCTGTGTGAACTTGAGGAAAACTGGCTTCATAAAAATCACCTTAACACTTTGAGTACATGCAGAAATGAGTTTTAAAAAAATAAGTCTATTATGATCTGTTTGCTATATTTTATTTCTAATGCAATGGAATTCATACATTTATAAGTGTGTCTAAAGTATCCACTGTATGCTGTTCCTTTTCATTATAGTGCCACACATTTTTTTACTGATGATTTTCCTGTTCTGTAACTTTTTTGCATGGTGAATTAAAGTCATGAAAGTGTAGTAATATAGTCAGATATAATTTTCAGTATGACAGAGTCAGTATGACAGTTTTTCTATTTACAGTTCATTATGTACATCATGTGACTGACATACACAAGTCATTAATATTTTTCCAAAATCATACAAAGCCTTCATGATAATGCTTCAATACAGTCTATTTCAATACAGGATCGGCTGTGACTTATTTTAAGTTTTGTGGAATTATTTACTCTAAATAATGTTAATGAAAATGACACCGATAATAATGATAAATATTTAATTATATATACCAAATTACTTGCTAGAATATTTCTAAACTTCTATAATATCAGAACTTTCAGACATGTGTAATCGATCTGTCTTTCTCTGCTGTCAGGACAGCGAAGACACTGTTGATCTCTGTGAGGAAATGCTGCAGATCTCCATGTTAGTGAAGGAGCTCCCGGCCTCACTGCCGCATTCTGGGTATGAAGAACTAGAGGATATGATGTTCTTCAGCCTGTGGAGAGCAATGATCAACAGGGTAAGGAGGAAAAGCAGCAAGCTGAGGAAGATGGAGACGTAGACGTAAACACTTGCAGTCCGTCCATATGCAGCGGCCGCCCCGGTAGAAACAGATGTAGGGCTAAACCTCAGGAAACTCTCGCTGTCCACTTCCGTACCATTGATCTCCTCCACCGACCCATCCATCCCAGACATATCTGGTGGATTTGGGAATCTGTTGGGTAGATAGGATAGATAAATTATTATTTACAGTCACATTTTTTTTTTTATTAGTCTGCTGTTTTGTAAATTAAATTATTACTATTATTACTGTTCACTTAAAACTCAGGGATTACGCTCATGTGAACATATGATTTGGATCATGCAGATCATATTTTAAAATATTATTGGATACATTAATGTTGTTACATTCCCATTAATGGCCTACTGTAGTATCCATAATATTTTTACTTTGTGAAGTATTTCATAAATTGTAAATAACAACAAACCGTAATTTATATTGTATTATATTGTAATTAAATATTATATTCAAATGTAAATAAATTTAGATTATATTACGATATATTATGATATATAATATAAACATTATTTTAATATATTAGGATTAGAAGCATTTGAACATATGAGATCATACAGGGATCATCCAGAAGATATTTTAAAATATTATTGGACACATTAATGTTATTCCATTCCCAGAAAATGGCCTACTGGAGAATTTTTTTAGCTCAAATTTTAATATGCTTATTTCATTTATGAAATATTTAATAAATTATAAATAGTAACTAACCAAAATGCATTAAGTGTATTATGAATTTATGAAATTATATTTATTAAATGTAATTAATAATACATAAATATTACAATTATTGTTAGTTAGTTATTATTTTAATATAATAATAAATTAATATTATAATTAAATCATATATTATACCTATATATTATAGCATACAAATTATTATGCTATATTAAAATATAATAATATCATTAGTAATATATTAAAATGATATTAAAATATTTT